GGACGTCCGTCAAGACCTTGTCTATGCATACGGTTGGCCATCACGGCTTGTACGACCTATTTGGAAGGTCGTTATTATCTGTATTTCTTCTAAAAAAATTACGAAAAATACAATTATATTTCATTTTGCATTTGTTCCTCTTATTTTTTTTTTAAATAGTTGGTCCTTGTCAATATTGAAAGACAAATGAACAAACATATGTCCTTTTGTTGTTTTTGCTTGTCCTTTCATGATAAATTGAATCAAAATCTTAAAATTCAATGTTCACTATCAATAATTCAAATTTGAATGAACATTCTTGCGTCCCTAACTCTCCTTTTGTTTAAAAATACATTAATCATCGATTCAATATTTATATTTTTTTTATCGTCTTTAAAGAAATAAAATACGTATCGAACATAGTCATCAAACACATGTGATTATGTTTAGTTGATGTGACATAGTAGATATTGTTAGATGCAATATTGTTATTATTATGTATTACATTAACAATACCACATAGGTCAATATTTAGGTTTTTTGCTTCTTCTTTTTATTTGTTTTACTTTTAATCATTCGATATTATAATATTATAATATACTGATCTGACTAATTTAGATTCTCATTATGTATGTAGGTTGATTTATACAAATATTTCTTTCTTATGCAATTATTTGAAGTTTTCCATTTAAAAAAAAAAGTTTTACAAACATGAAAGAATTTCAACCATCTCATCTCTTAACAATAATAACAGTCTGACACTTGTAATAAATTTCAACTATTTCGTCTCTTAGATATTAGTATTTTTATTTCCACAAAAGTAAATATTTTGAATTAATTTCTTTTTTTTTTCACTTGGTGTTTAATATTTATATTAAAATCTGACTAAATTTTAGATATTCGCAAATTGTAAGATCCATTTCTAAAGGCGACTTTAGGCTTAAATTCATTTATTCATACTCATACTTGAGTATAATGGGGAAGTGATAATTTTCTTTTTTTAACGTGCATTTTAATCTTCATTGTTATATATGATTAAAATTCAAACTCATTAATATATGCTATATACTTTTATTTTACGTTATAGCTACTCCACTCCTTACATTTTTTCTTTTAGAAAATTATATAGAAATAATTACTAGTATTATTAATCATGATTGAGAAATTTCCTAAAAACCTTCATTCTAGAGATATCTTAAATCTTAATCCTTGCTTTCTACTAATCATTCCAATTAAGTAAAATTTAGAATTCATAAAGAAAAAGATTCCTTCTCTTAATATTAGTTAATCATCATAATTTATTGCTAATTTATGTTACATTAATTAATTAATGGGGGACAAAAAGATTAGTGGTATGAGGGAACATTCATGCATGGCTACAAATATGATTAAATTTTTTTTTTCACTAAGTGGACCTTTTAATCACATAAATTAGCATTAGCTAACTAATAAATATTCTTCCTATCACATGAGCTCTAATGATCACACTTTATAATTAAACCCCACAAATCCAAAAAATATACTTTAAACAATTTTATATCACAAAGAGAAAATATGGTCGAATATATCGATAAACTCTTAAATTTGCTTGTAAATTTCATTCAAAAACTCAGATTTTGATTTATTCTAATTGGATATCTAAACAAATGACAAAGTGCTCATATCTTAGAGAGAAAAAGTTGTTCATGCTAGCTCATAAACATCAATTAGAACATGTATGGAGTTTTACAACTAATTAAAATTATTGTGTATAATTAAATGACGTGACATATTAAACGGTTAATTCTAGCGCTTAAGGACACAAGCAAAATCTTTTTTAAAAATTTGAATAAAAAATATTTAATAATGAACACTTAATCGTATGTTCAGATGTTCAAACAAAACAAATCATAGTTTAAGTGTTTAAATAAAATTAATTTACTGACAAATTTAAAAAAGCTAAAAGAAATTAGAGATCCATTATTTCACAAAAGGCATATATATACACAATTTTAAAAGGAGAGTTAGTTGCATAAACCTTCTTTATGATCTAAAAAGCTAATCTTGTTCTTTAAAAGTCATTTTCTTGACTAATTATTATATTATATAATAACATAAAAGTATCCTAAAATATATACTTATACATATAAATGTACTAATATAACCTAAAGTTGGCCCTGCGCATGCTTGGTTAATAATGTTTTAGAACATGATTAGTACTAGCTTTCATAAATCCTACACAAAAAGGTTATATTCACACTTGTACTCTAAAAAAAAGAGTTATATTTATTCTTAGTTATATTTATTTCATATATTTGTCCTTGTCATTCGTAATTTAATTCAATTTGAAGTACAATCTTGATCATTAATTTTCATTAAAATTAAAATGTCTGAATCTTAATAAGTATTTGCTCAGTAATTGGCTATAATTATTGTACAATAAGACTAGTGGCGGAGGTGGTGAGTGGTGGAGGTCAATAATCGTGAAGATGGTTGGTGGTGATAATGGTTGATAGTGATTATATTACAATAAGACCATCAATAATGAAGATGGCTAGTGACGGTAATCGTTGACGATAATTAATTATTCTAGAATAATACTAGTGGACGTTTACAATAATAAAGATGGTTGTTGATGATAGTGATTGTTGGTCACGGTCATTGTGTAGCGGAAGACTAGTGGTTGAGATGTTGATGGCGGTGACCGATTGTAGAAGGGGCTAGCGATGAATAGTGGTTAAAAATAGAGGTGGTCGATGATAGTGATTGAGACTAGTGTTGATCATATAGTAATGATAAAATATCGTATCGAATTATCAACAGAATCTTTAAGTAAACCTCAATCAAAACTATAAAAATCGAGCTATCATAAAAATAAAATAAATAGATACACTTGCTGAATCGAGATCTGAATAATTTAGATTCATACATTCTTAACGAAAATAAAAACAAATAACTAACTTCTAGCCCATCCAACAACATAATTCCAACACACACAAAATAAAAACCCTAGAACATGATGGCCCCAAAGACAACTCTAACCTTGTGATCTTGTTATCTAGAAAGTAATTGATCTTAGCTTGAACACATGGTACAAATTTAAAGTTATAAAAACATTAGGGACCTAATAAAAGCTTCTCTTTAGTATTTTCATTATCCAACAAGTTTTCATGCTTGTATAGTGGCTAGCATGTGTTAGAATCCTCTAAAATGGAAAAATATTTTGGATATTTCTTAAGGAACATGTATTTGATTTGCAAAAATTTCTTTTGGGTCCCTTTTCTTCTACAACCATCATTTTAACAATTAAATATCATGAGGGGTTTTAGCTTTTCATAATCTTTCCATCTGTACTAACATCTCATCAAGGCAATTCTTCAAATTACTTGAGTAGCCTTTGTTGAGGGGACACAAAGAAGTCGTATCGTATCGTGTGATCTAACGGTTAATGAAGTGGGTAAAACTAAAATTAAAATCATAAGAAAAAGAAACGTCATGGTGCACGAAGTAAGTGCGGGTATGGGGGGACGGGCCGCACCTCAAGGGAGTGTGATATAAGCAGTCTATCCTGAAGCAAGCATTAATAGTTGATTCCACGACTCGAACATCTAATCTATAAGTCCCACAGAGACAATTTTACCATTGCTTCAAGGTTCCCCTTCATCAAGGTTCACATCTCAATGGACAAAAATTGCTTGATAAGTTCTTCCCATCTTCCTAGGAATTGGTGGGCAGAGTTACTTGTTACCTATAAACGTGATGGTAGGTATCCGGTGGAATAATCGAGGTACGCACGAGCTATCTCAGATGTCATGTTTTCAAAAATATAAAGAAAAAAAAACTTGGCATTTTTCAAGAACTCATATTTCTCACACATGCAACAACAATAATATATGTGGTGTAATTCCACCTATGGCATCTGGGGAGGGTAGAGTATACGCAAACATTAGCCCTACCTCATAGAAATAGAGAGGTTGTTTCTGATAGACTCTCGGTTCATCTTCACACATGCATTTTTGGAATTAGATACTAAAATAAGCTTTTACAAACTGTTATCTTAAAGTAAAAGGTGGATTAATGATTCATGGAGGCTGGCTTGGCTTTGTATTCATAATAAAGCTATGAATTGCCACTTTATAGATGTTAAATGGACCCTATGATGATAAACCAACAAAATAGCTCAAAATAAGAGGTGATTTAACACTTTTTAAGCTTTCTATCTAATTTATACCTATTTATATATCTCTTAAGTGAATTTAACATTCTATCAAAACTTCACTTACCTTATAACAACTGTAGAGCAACTGTCCAGTCTTGGTTTAAGAAAAAGATGGATCTTGATTCAAATCCAACAATCTCACAAGCACATCCCGAGACGATGGACTTCCTTTCGCGCACTTGGTGCAACTTTGCAGTTCAAGCGTTCCAGCCGGAGATGCAAGATCAAGCTCTCATTCTACATGAAACTTCAATCAAGAGTTTAAGCATTGATAATAAACCTCCTCTTCCTGTAAGTAATCGTTGTGAAATCATGTCTAACATAATAAAAAAATATTGAGGTTTCGTATTAATGTATCACAGAAAATGGATAAGAGCATGAAGATGGATGATGCAGATAATTCAATTCCGCCATGGAAATCCAACGATGTCAAGGTAAGAAACAGAATACAAACCCCTGTGCATTATCACCACAGATTCTTCCCAGAGAAGACTCATTGTGACATACTTTCATTTGTTTCGTTAGTCGTGGATATGGATGCAGCAAGCCATGCATCCAGAGGTGAACTACAACAGCTATTTCCAGAAAAAATGGGTAAGTTGAGAATTATCCAATCATCAAGAAATTTTCACCCGTTATCCCTTTTTGAGACAGTTGTTTAGTAAATGACCTTTTTCTTGTATACTCTTGCAACTTATGGACCTTACCACGATGTAAAGATCCCTTACGAGCCAACTGTATGAGAAAAAAGTTAGAACACGGTCTAGAAATTTGTAAATAACTGCAAAACATTTGACGATAGTCGAATGTGTTGTCTGTAAGGTTGAGGAATATATAAGCAAACATTAGATCCAAGTCTAGCGTATTCTGGAAAAGTAATTTTCCAAAAGCTATATTTACAACTTTGAAAATCTAAATGCTGGCCTAAATAAGGGAAATTGGCATAAATCAACTCATCAGAGCTAATTATTGGTTTAATTAAAGCATGGTGAAAATAAACTCAGTGCGGAGAGCTTGTTTCATGCAGATGCCGTGGAACATAGGACCACTAAAGAATGTGTCAATCAAGAAATGGATCAAAGAAATTAAGCAGAAGAGGAAAGAAGAAAAGAGATTACAGAAGGCTGAAGTACATGCAGCGATATCAGTGGCAGGTGTTGCAGCTGCCTTAGCTGCCATCGCTGCTGAAAACATGAACCATGATCAGTCAGGGTGTACCAAGGAGTCAGCTGTGGCCAGCGCAGCGGCACTAGTTGCAGCACAATGTGCACAAGTGGCAGAAGCTATGGGGGCAAAACGGGACCAAATCAGCAGTGTGATTGGCTCAGCAATGACCGGCACAAGTGCAAGCGACATTCTGACGCTTACAGCTGCAGCTACAACTTGTAATGACTTCTCTCCACCTCTTAAAATACATAGTTTTTACAAATATGACTCAGTTGTTAGAAAACTTAAACTTACCAGCAGCTACACATAAAGACGACTGTGTTTTGGGCATGAATCTTTCATTTTACGCGAGATGCAAGTAATAAGAAGATTTAAACAGTTCGCATTCACTTCTACTAGTACAGAAACAATAACAACATACCCCTAGTGTAATCTCATAAGTGAGGTCTAGGGAGGATAGAGTATACACAGACCTTACCCATCTCATAAAGACAGAGAGGTTATTTCTGATAGACACTTAGCTTAAATAAAGCAGATAGAATCTAACGTCTACTAGTCCTCTTTAATAATTCAGATCTAGAATCTAACTGCAGCTAACAAAATCAAATTACTAAAGCTTCCTTAGCATAAAGTAAAACTTAAGCTGCTACTAGAAAAAATAAAGTCAAGTCAAATCTTTTGTATATTATTTGTTCAGAAACTAGAAAGAACTAAACCTTATAATAGAATTATATGTGCTCCAACTGAGCAAGCTTGAGGAGTTCAAAGAATGAAATGTTTTATCATCCAACTGGATTTGACTCTGCTGAAAGGACCACAATGTGGTATCATGAAACCAATACCCAACATGGGTGTGTTCGCCATGACTTGGGTTAAAAAAGACCAAAAAGAGAAGAACTGTATGCTGACAAGGAAGTAAATAAACATAACTGTGTCATTTGGAACTGAACTCAGCCTCTGTTAGTCTCATCTTAAATTGTAAGTAAAACTCATCTATTTGGACTTGCACCGGTACTATCTCAGCACTCAGAGGAGCAGAAACACTCAAAGCAAGATCTGGCTACAAGAATATTTTGAATGGAAGCACACCAGTTCTCCCAATTGAAGATAGCAACGACTACAACTTTAACCACGAGAAATGCAGATCAATTCTCTCCAAGGGGGCAGACCTCTATATTGAAAAATCAGAAGGTATGTCTAATTGTCGATTTCTCTATAACTAATAATTTTACCATGCATGTCCTTTAATATCTGTTACAGTCCGTTGTTTCTTGTACTTCCATTACGATCAGCTGATGCTTTTTTTGTATTTTGCTATGTGGAACAGGAAGATCCAAGCTAAGGTCGGTGTCCATTATGTTAAATAGTGAAGCCAAGGTGTGAACATTAATATCTCTTCAGCTGATAATCATGTATTACCTACTGTATACATTTGCTCCAACAACATAGCAGCGTCATAATTCAAGGAGAATGACGACGATTTCTATGGGAAAACTAAATCGTCGTCCTCTTCTTTGTTTTGTTTTAAAAGTTAATGGTCAAACACACCCGAAGTATCATGTTTTTGTGTGTTCCATACCTGAACTATTATCACCGGCTATTTATCAAAACATGCCTCAACCACAACCAAAAGTCATGGACAAGATCTCAGTATGATGTTTTAAATACGAAATTTAAAGTTCTAATTCTTATGTTACAGGTTATCCTAAGAACAAGGAAGCCAACTATGTTGAAGACCTTCTCAAGTCAAGCGGAAAGTATGTCCTTGTATTCAATACTGTCTCTTTACCTTAGTATTTCTTGCACTTCTCATATTAAATTTGTAACAATTTTTTCTGATATGCTAATTAGATAGTTAACAAATTTATGAACACCTCCACATCTGATTGTAGGTGTCGTATTAGACCTACATGCCGAGCTGTATAAGGATTCAAATGGAGCGGAAACTGATAGTTGCTATCTTATTGTGCTAACAACAAACAGGGGAGTCATCAAGCTAGACATGATGGATGATTACCAGCGATACAAAATGTGGTCAATGACTATTAACCAAATGCTGACGCTGTCTACTTCATTTACAAAATATGAGCTCCAATATTACAAAAGCTAATCTTCATAAAGATTTGTGGCATCAGCATATTTTTCACATGAGTTTTTTGTCATGTATAGGTTATAGTACTTAGCAACTTCGAAGTTGTCAGATCTGTTAATAGTTACATATCATGTTCTTGTTTTTCCAATAAGTTACATGTTTGTTGATCATATTGTTTGCTTAAATCTTTATGATTTTTCATTTCTCACCTTGTTCACTTGGATATCCGTTTCCTGAGTCAATTATAATTATTCTATTTGATGAATTAATTCTTCTGATTACAAGAATTCACCTAAAGCTCCTCAACAACAACATACCCAGTGCAATCCCACGAGTTGGGTCTAAGTAGATAGAATGTATGCAGTCCTTACCTCTACCTTTGCGGGTAGAGAGGTTTCTGATAGACCTTCGGCTCAAAAGAAATGTAATTGATGCAGGACAGGAAGAAAGAAAAAGAGACAACAAAATACCAGATGAAGAAAACAAGTGTAACAACAGATTTCAATACACATTGGGGTAAAGGGAAATACATTATACCTAAATCATACTACTAGAAGTACCACAACACTCGGCCTCCATACCTACTTTCCTATCTAACCTTCATACCTAAAGCTCCTCAAGTAATGTGGAAACCACCTTTGCATTCTCATAAAGCAACACCAAAACATGGTCCTGTCAGGAACTGCGGTTAATTACAGATGTTCAAAGTTACTACAAACCAAACCAGGGAAGAAGTTCTAGCCACTGTAGTTCACATGAACTCATGTATGCATCACATTACAAATTAAAAACATATATTTTTTCCCTTTCAAGTTATGCAACATAGTTTGACTGGGCAGGGAGTTTAAGAAATGAAGGAGATCTTTTGAAATTGGTGGTCTTAAATCTACCATAACGATTGTGTGGCTATAAAAGCTTGTCATCATCAACAACATACCTAGTGTAATCCTACAAGTGGGGCCTGGGAAGCATAGTGAGCACATAGACCTTACCCCCACCTTAAAAAGGTTGAAGGGTTGTTTTTGATAGACCCTCGGCTTAAAACAGACAGCAACAAGAAAATACAATAATTAAGGCTAAAGAACCAACCAATAGAAATAGAAATCTAAGGATACGAATATACAAGTCTAATACTAATACTCCAATAATGGGAAAGCAAAGCACTCGAATACCTACTAACCTTCTATCATAATCTTTGATCTCCACACCCTCCTATGAAGGATCACATCCTCAGCTATAAAAGCTTATCATCAAGGTAAAAGGGGAAGTTCAAGTTAAATTGTTTCCAAATTTAGAAATATTGTGATATTTTTGGGAGGGCTTGTAAAAGAAATACTATCATTCTTTTTGGAAAAGAGGAAGTAGATTGTATGCATATCATAATCACAACATATGTATCTTGATATGATACACAGTCGATATATGAGACAGGTATTAAAGGAAATTAAAACATGGACGTAGAGGCAAGAAAAGTAGGTGAGTCAAAATTATAATCTTTTCTTCTTTCCAAGTATTTCCTGCTTTTTTCCTTTGGTGTTTCTTAAGAACTGTATTTAATCAAACCATGTTTACAAAATTTCAAAATTTCCGCTATATAGCTGAAACTCCTATCCATTCTCTTCAGGAACAAAAGAAAATAGAATGGAAACATAAATCAAAAGGTAAAAGATACTAGAAAAAATTTACACCTAGAATAGTTAAAAGAAATTCTAGATTAGTTTGCTCATCAAGGACAGAATCACTGGCCTTTCAGTGTATACACAGCAACAGATGCCTGAAGTTCTCGATCCACCTTGAAGTGAGCATGGAAGAACCGTTTTATCTGTCAATCACAGGGACATACTTGAATGAGCACATTGCACTCCATTTTTCCACACACACAAAAAAAGAGAGAAAATACATTGTTATAGAAATGGATCAAGACGAAAGAAAGCAACCAACCTCTTCGAAATTATGCAAAGCTAGAAAGTCATTCAGTAGTTTTTCCTGAAAGTCAAAGAGCACAATGTGACTAGGTATAGACCAGTTCTTAGCAAATTCTGTTGCAAAACCAGCTGGATCCACAAGAAACTGATCAGACTCGTCTAGAGCTCCTTTCACGTCACTGTATAAAGGAATAAACGAAGGTTCATTTCTGTTGAAACGAAAGAAAAACAGTACCGCCAGAGACGGTTAGACATTCACAGTACATTGGCAGATATAGTACATACCTTGGTGTGCAATCTAAGAAACGCATAGGAAGGTTACGGTGAAGAGTTGAGTAGTAAGGTGTGGCATGGCACGGTGTAAAGAATAGGACACTTTTCACTTTCCCACTGTTCGCCTCTACGGAGAGGTAGTTCATTACATCCTCTGTCCCTCTCTGTAGACAGAGGTTACAGATAGGATAATAAGTTCCACAGAAATTTAAAGTTTTGATGCTATAACAAGAGCAAAAGAAAAAGGAAAGAGAACTAGGCATCGAGATTTTGCAAGAAAATATTGCTTTTGCAGAAGGTGAGAAGAAAGTCAGATGTCGAGATACCTGATGAACCATACTCATGTAAAATGCCATCGGAATATTACTAACTGCTAGGAACAGAACGGCCAGTTGCAATTTTCCTGAGCACCTATCATGGCTGCTTGGAGATCTTTTAGCACGGCCGGTAGACTTATCAGGCCCTCCAATTGTTGCCAACCAGTACCCAGAGAACATTAAAGCTATTGGAAGCACAGGGAGGACAAACCTGTTTTTCGGACAGTTTAGAGAACATCAATCAACTATTCATTCAACTACACGTCTGACATGGAAATTATTACAGAACATAAAGCTTAAAGACTATTATCATCTTTAAAGGGAAGCCTTGGCGTAACTAATAACATTGCTGTCATGTAATCAAGAGGCTATGGAGACAACCTCTTGCAGAAATGCAGGAAAGCGCCATACAATAGACCCTTGTGGTCCGGCCCTTCCCCGGACCCGCGCATAGAGGGAGCTTAGTGCACTGGGTTGCCTTTCTTTAATAATCATCTTTGACAGAAAGACATTAATAATCTGAACAAGTACCTGAACTCTTTGTGACCCAACAAGCTATAAATTGCCAAACACCAAGCAATTAGACCAGATAGTTTCCACTGCTTAGATTTGAAAATGCCAGCAAGTGAAAACGGCAAGAATGTGAAGACCATAACTGTAAAACCCTGAGTGAAGTACCAATGCCACACATGAGTTCCATAATAGTCTCCACCAGCAGAGAGAAAATTGAACTTCAGAAAGTTCAAAGGCACGAGGACCCAAGTGCCATACATCCAGCGATCCACCAGAAATGTAAGTCCCAGAATTAATGTCCTGACTCCAAGTGTTAGAAGAGGAAAGAGGTTTTGTGAGTATGTAACTTTTATAGTTTGAAGAAGAATAGATCAACTGAAAACACAAATAGGAGTTCTATGAGTTCTCCCAAATCAGAAAAATTCATAGATGAGAGCAAAGCGCTGAAGACAATGTGTGGGTTTACAGGTGTTCCTTTTCTACATTCATGTCTACATCATCTCTTTCAAAACAAGAGAAACCATGAAAGTTTCAAGTACGATAGGATACAGATGTGGAAGTCGGAAAAAAACAAAAAAGAAAATGAATAAGCCTTTTCCAATTAGCTTGGATAAGTTTCAAGGGATAGTGAAACTTCACTTGAAATTGAATGGATACAAATTTATATCACCAAATCCTTAATATCCAGTTTACTCTTATATAGAAGGGATTCAGCTAGCAATGGTATATGACCTTAGATCCTGTTATGGCGTTCGGTTAGACCCTCAGCTTACCAAGTTAATAAAATGCAATTCATATCTTAACAATAGCATGACGTAGTCGTGAGAAGTAATGATACTTACCCAATAGGAATCACCTCAAGAAGAACAAATTTCAGTTTATCACGTGTCAGGCACAGCTCTAGGAGGCCAATATAGATCCATGTAATGGCACTTGTAGGTCGGATTGCACATGCTAATGCAGCTGTAGCTAAGCCCCATTTTCTAGAGCCCCGAGAAATTTTACTAGCAGATGGTCTAATGCAAGGCCAGTAGTATAGGCTCACAACAGTAAGAACAGTCTCCAGACTATTGGATAAAGTACGTGTGATACAGAAAAACATGAACCAGTTTGTCAACTGGGCAAAAAGCTGCAGATAGATCAAGTACTTCAGCATCAATGATATTGGAGTGAAACATCAGCAATTAAATGTACAGACACTAAAAGGAGCAGGACCACTTGTGGATCTTCAAGTAACAAAAAGAAAATAACAAAAAGGCAGGATCAAGAAAGTGGTATGTGTTACAAAGGAAAAGGATACCGTAAATTTTGCAACACTGTCACCAAATATCTCTTGAGAGAGCCTAAACAAATAGAAGTCCCCAAAAGCTGAAAATATTGACTGCAGCAGTCGTGGAGTCCTTATCTGGGAAGAATGGAGACTTTGTTAAGCACCATGGGAAAGAACATCTAATGTGTACGCGTATAATAGAAAATATTAATAACGAAACTAAACAAGCAAAAATGCAAACAGACAAGAGAAAAAATCTCCATCAAAAAGATGCATATACCAAATCGTACTTTTAGTTGCACTGTTATGCATTTGAAGTACATCAAATGGATAGTTCGGTAATAGAGATAAGATGTCTACAATGTGTACTCCAAAGTATAGCCAAGGAAATTACAGGTAAATGTCTGGTAAAATTGGTACTCCCTACTTCACACATATTAAGAGCCCGAAGAAGTGTCTAAGGATATCTTCACCGTAGTAAGATAACTGAAGTATTGAATAATGTATGAAAAATGTATCTTTCTTAAGAAATTACACTAAAACTGTGGATAATCCAAAACAGGAAGTACAATAATCAGACTTGAAAGGAGGAGTAATATCAATAACCAATATCATCATCTCCATTCACTTCCTAAAATTTCTAGTTTCATAAAGCCTATTAGATTCACATATGCTTCTGCATTCCCAAACACCTAAAATATGTGAGAACATCTGCACAATTTTCTTTTATGAAATTCACTCACGAAACGAGCTGATAAACTAAGGACAGAGGAGAACTATTAGAATTAGCCGTTTCCTTTAAATGAGCTAGAACAAAAATAAAGAAAGATACATTAAGGTTCTATGTTGCTCAGACGCTCCAAAAATAATGCCGCACTCATGTTAGATCCTCCAAAATGCACTTACTTTGAAGGATCTGGCACACACCTGGTAGCATCTTTGAATCATCAAAACAAGCAACGTATCCATTTACATTGTCACATTATGAGACAACATAAAAATACAATGAAGTTCAATTCTTGCAGAATTACACGATCAAGTATCAATATTTCCATATTCAATTCACATTAATCAACCCAAACAAAGCTGAAAAAAATCAAAAAAACAAACAAACTCATAATTACCATGAACCAAGGTTTGTCAAGATGAAAAAAGGCAAGAACTTTATACAATCCAGCAAATATCACTGGATGAAGATAACTCCTTATACCCTTTTCCCATTCCCACGTCAAATGTCCATATCTGCCAACCAAAAGAAAACCCCAAATCAGTAATCAAAAGAATTAACAAAAAAAACCCAAGAATTGTAAAAAAACACAAACCCAAATGAGATTCGATGAGCAACTTCAAGAGCTTGCCAATGTTCATCTGGATTGAAATATGTTTGGACCAAAAAAGCATTAACAAATCTAACGAACAAACACAAGAAAAAAACTTTTTTCAATAAAGGGTGTGTGAATTTGTTGTTTTTGGAAGATTTGGGTATGTTGGTTTTGCTATCAGTAGATGAAACATCAAGATTTTTCCTTTGTCTCATGGTGGAAAAAAATGGAGGATTTGATTTGAGTTTTCAAGATTTAGAAATTTTTTTAAAAGAGGAGGGACATATAATTTTCAATATTTAGATTAGTTTATAACTAAACAATTTAAATTAAAAAAAAAAAAGAATTAGAAAACACTATAAATTTAATAACATAAAATCATATTTGATAAAAGAAAATGAAACATTTAATGTTTGTTAAATGAAATGATGGCGAGATGGTTTGTAGTGATAGTTGTGATGACGAAGGTGGTTGGTGTTGTAGTGACTGATATGATGATGATAGTGATTGTGATGGTAAACTTCATTGATATTAGTAATTAGCGATGTTGATGGTGATGGGTAATGGCTAAAGCGATGTTGATGGTGATGGGTAATGGCTAAAGAATGTGTAGTAATGAAAAATATATTAGTTATAGTACTAGTTACGAGGATAGAGGTGATTAGTAGTAGATATTGACCGCAATACTAATAGTGGCTGACACCGAGGATGAAAGTGGCAATGGCGATGATAGTGATGGCGGCGCCAGTGGTGACAACAAATATAATTATAATGACGAAAGTAATAGATGTACTAAAAGCTATTGACTTTATTGATTAACAGTATCAACGGTGTTTAGGATGCCAGTAGTAATGGCTAGTGATTGGTGACGGTAATAATGGTTGACAATGACAGTGACGATTTTGATGACAGAGGTGGTTAATGATGGTCAATATTATCAACATAAAACCTCTCAATGATATTTAAGACTTTATTCAAAAGTTATAATACAAAATACAATAAGTTACATGGAATACATTTTCTTCATGTCTGTAAAAAGATGGACACAATGATATACATTAAGAATCTACAAGAAAATGATACAATGTGAGGTTTCTTGGAGGGCCTTTCTCCTTTTCTTGAGTGAATTTTGTGTACATTTTACATTGAAACATCAGAAGAATTGGAGAGATCTGTCCACAATAAAAGTCTTCGAGGTCGATCTAAGAACCTCGCTTGCCACGCAGGTTCCTCGTTCTCTTGTACAAAGCCACACTTTATGTACAACTTTTTTGCTGGCTCGTTGTCGATGGCAACATGGACGTATAGATCACTTATTCCTGTAAAAAAAAATGCGAAAAGAATAGCTTAGTGCTGTGATAACGATTTGGTGAGATGATGACACGAGTTGAGCTTAAATGAACAGTTAAGATTCCTATAGTTGACCCGAACTTGTTTGGGACTGACGGATAGTTATTGTTGTAGTACACCTATACAAGGTAAAGCAAGCTCACACATTATATATGGTAAGGCTGAGGAATATCTAAAGAAGAGCAAGTACCCATGTCTTTAGCAACCGTCTTTGCTTTACAAATAAGAGCGTAGCCGAGGCCATTTCTTTGCAATTCTCCAGCAACGCATACATTACTCAAGTATCCCCTAGCAAAATCAGCTCCTATTCCCTGTTTAGATGCAGTAGAATGATATAATTACTTATACAAAGAGATACGTTTATCGACATATGCAAGCAATAAGCACTGCAAATCTTGCATCAACGACAAATGCATTGGAAGAAAAGCGAATACACAAAATAAACAAGAAGGTATCTAATGATACCTTTGGTTTCATTCCTGTGATTTCATCCGGTAGTCTGATGCACTGGTTAACGTCCAGGGTCCCGACAACAACTAGATCCGCGTTATCATGAGAAAACTGCAAGTAATGGAAACTAAAAAAATTTAATAGTATTGCATAAAAGTACAGATTGGACTTGACTCTTGATAAAGATGAAAGCAATAATGGTGTGGAGAGTACGTGATCGAAATCAAAGATGATTTCCCAAGGACGGAAAATGTAAAGAAGGAAAAAAACCAAAGTGTAAAGATTCTCACCTTACAAGAAGTACTCAAATCATATGCAACATTTGAGACTTCTGAAAATGGAAGGGTGGCATTGATGCAAGAAACTCTTCCAAAGCCGACCCTTTTCCCAGCAATACGTTCCGTCAGTGCTTCAAACTCACGTTCAGTCAGGTACTTTGTATGATCCTAATAGAACTTGATAAGGAGGATATAACAATCAGTATATACTTTAAACGAGAGTGGAAAATATTAGCAGATTTACGCATAACTTGAAAATGATGAAAGCCAGCAAATCAAACAAAGATCAATTAACATGCTAGTCGAACAAAGATCACATTTTTCTTTAATCGGAACAGACATTGCCACAAAAATAATCATAAAGGAAGGAAAAATAAGAATTTTTGGATTAGAAAAAAGAAGAAGAAACCTAATAATCCTGAAAAGATCACATCAATTACAATAAAACTCAACACAACAACATATCCGGTGTAATCCCACAAGTGAGTTATGAGAAGGGTAGGATGTACGCAAACCTTACCCCTAACTTAATGGGGTAGGGAGGTTGTTTCCAAGACCCTCGGCTCAAAAGAGAAGTTATCAAAAGAGGGTTGAAAGAATATATGACAGCAAAATAGCAAGATATTAGGCAAATGAACCAACAAATAATAATACACATTGAGAGAATAAGTTACTACGCGACTACTAAATGCAAAAAGGAGCTATTTTTACTTTTCCCTTCTCTTTAGGATGAAAACTATATAGGTTGATTTCAGCTAGTCTTCTAAAGACAAATTCACAAGCTCTCACATAAATTACAACAAAATCCAAATACTGACAATAAAGATCCTAACTTTAACATTTCTTTGATAAAGAAGACACAAGAAACACCCATAAACTGAACTAGGAATGGCCATTTTGTTGAGTCCAAAAGTAGATAATGGAACAATCTTTTGCAGCCAAATCCACAAACTCTTACAGCAATCACAATAAAATTCGACATCATTAAGCAGAATCAGAAGAAACTATATAAATATAGTTTCTTTACAGTTTAAACACTAAAGTATCCCAATTTTTCGAGATACACACATGAACTATTATGTAGCAACTACCAACAATTTATTAAAACACACCTCAATAATCAATTGTTTCTTTTTCCTACTTGAAATATCATCATAGTTCAGCTAGTAAAAGGAAACAGTTGATACTTGAGGTGTGTTTTGATAAATAGTTGGTGATAATACAAATAACAAACTCTGAAACTTGAAAAATCGAAATAATTTAGATGTGTTTTCAATCCTTCACTAGTAAAGATATTAAACTTTAAAGTCCAATAATGTTGTGCAACTAAAACCCACCAATTCTTACATCAATTACACTGAAATTTAACACTACATTAACAAAAAAGTAAATAAATTTAGCTATGGAGAAAGGGGCAAAAAAATAAAATGGACTAAGAGACTAATATAAACATGCTAGTCAAACAAAGATAACATTTTTTTCACCACCAAAGTATGTGGTGCAATGGATGGGCCAGCTCCTCCCTAAACCAAAGGTCTCGGTTATGGGAGCCTCGTCACCACTAATAATGACCCCTACCCAACACGAATCTGGATTAATCAAGCTCTACCGAATGGATAGGAAACCAAATATTAACAGATACTAACTTCAAAGTCCAATAATATTGTGCAGCTAAAATCCACAAATTCTTACATCAATTATCACACTGAAATTCAACTCTACATTAACAATAAGTAAGAAAAAAAACTAAAGAGACTACAATTAACAAGCTAGTCAAACAAAGATAACATTTTTTCACTATCAAATGATGTGGTGCAGTGGATGGGTTGCCCTTCCCATACGCAAAGGTCTCGATTAGTCAGGCTCAAATACAAATACCAAACACAGGATAGACAATCAAATATCAACAATAAAGATAGTAACTTTAAAGTCAAATAATGCTAAAATCCACAAATTCTTACATCAATTACACTGAAAAGTGAAATCCAACACTACATTAACAAAAAGTAGACAAATTTAACTATAAATGAAAAACTAAAAAGGGGGGCAAAATAGATCAACAAACTCACTTCTATGTTAAGAATTTCATGGTGAAAGCCATAGAAAGTCCTAACACGAAGACAAGAAGCAGCCCACAACTCATTTTCAGATTTAGCTTCAGATACACATAAAAAAGATTTATCAATCAAGATTGGTGATGGGGTTTGTGAACAAATTTGGGGTTGTTGAGAAATTTGAGAAGAACAGAGAACAGAAGAATGAAAAGGGTATCTGTTACTGAAATTATAGGTATAGCCATTGATGGCGGAGAAATTGGTGTTGAGTTTTTTGGGGAAGAAAGAGTATGAAAATGGTGTAAAGAGAATTGCCATTTTTTCTTTTCTTTTCTTGGTTTCCTTTGTTATGGTCCAAGCTTTTTCTAGCTTGTTTGATTTTTTTTATTTATTTTTTTGTCTTATTAGTTGGATTATGTTTTCATTTGATATTTCGATTCGGGCTAATTTAAATTCGTATCGTATGAGATTTGTTTGAAACAAGTATTTTCACACCGAGGATTATGTTCTCAGTGATTCAAACTAGAAATTTTAAAATTAGCGTGTGTTTTTTTCTCCTATTTTTTTTTTGTGATTGATGATAATGATAGTTAATAGTGATGGTTATATGCGTTGATTAAAGATAATAAATTTTGTGAGTGATGGTTAATTGTGATATAGTTGGTAAAAATTGATGATGATAGTTATAGCTAACTGTTGTAATCAATGATGATCGATAATAATTATTATTGAGTTGTATCAGCTTCTGTTTATTATTGAGACTGCAGTGCATGTTGTTCTAGAGTTATTATTGAGTTGTGAAATTTCTAGATTGATGAGAGTAGTTGTGTGGGTGAGGATTGTAAAAGGAAGCGAGTTTGATTTCGTGGAGAGTAGTTAGAACGATTTGAGTGAACTATTGAGTTAAGATACTAGAGTTAGTCCTTTAGATTATCGAGTTATAATCTTAAAACATTTCTCTTGCAATGTTAGTGGAAATTTTTCGCTAAAAGCCTACATATCGTAGGGCGTGATTTTTCACTTCTTTTCCATGATAAATTCGTGTCTTGTTAATTCTGTTCATCACGATTAATACGTTTTTAAAAATCAGATTCTAACTAAGGATAACGGAGTAAAAGTAATTTTTTTACAAAATACACTCTATTCTTCTCGAACGCATTTAACCAAGTGACTCACAAGAAATATTCTAAAAACAAAACCAAGAACTAATTGGGCTTTTTTGGGTATGGTTTTGTAGCCCAGCCCATTAGCTCGAGGCTGGCATTGTATCTCCGAAATCGGCCCAACAGGCCCAAAACCAAAGTTTTGTTGAATTTATAATCGAGAAAATTTCATAAATAGGGATATAACTATCCATCCTTTACGAAAAATAAAAATAGTGAGATTTTACTATATTTCAAAGTAAAGTATGGTATTTAAAACCTGATAGAATATATGTATTTAAGCGTAATAATATCTTTTTTTAATTGAAAATCGTGTAAAATATAATATATAATTACAACTTAATATGTAGCTAACTGCAAATGTTTCTTATTACTCTCGTATAAAATGCGATAATAGTCAATTATGTGTTGAGATTCTATCATTATTTTCTTCTTATTTGAACAATATTTTTAACGATTTTAAAGTAAATCATACTCTATCAAATTACGACTTCTTAGTATTTAAAATTAAAAATGTTCAATTGATAACTACTGTTGGGTCTTATCGAAGATCATACCTTTTTCTTTTTAACAGGTTTTATTGGAATAATTCTTTTTTTTCTTCTTATTTTTCAATTAGTTCCAATTTCCAATTTCCTACACCTATTAATCCTAAAAAAAATTATCAGGCTGACAATTTAAATGCGATAAAATGTGGCAGTATAATATAATAAAGATATTTTTTGAAATTAAAATTATGATTTTTATTATACTAGTATGTGTAAATTAAGATTATCAATTTATCATATCGATAATAAATTAATTTAGTATTCTTTCTATTTTCATATAAATGAATTGTTGATATCTTTTTATGATATAAGATGGATGAATTTTGCAAAATTTAAAAATATTTTTATTTTTATCATTTTTTAAAAGGAATTTTCTACTATTTTTTTGTATCCCAAATAATGACTGTCTCTCTACATTTAAGAAGAGTTTAGGAAGAATTAAAAGGCAATATTAACATATTAGTCTTTGATTAATATTTTAAAAATCTTTTTAAGGGTGTGTCATACGTCAATAATTTGTTTACATTAAACTACAAAGAGTATGCTGGTGATATATTACTCAATCTGTTTTAGTTTACGTGATACATTTTTTTAGTCGGTCATTAAAAATGACAAAATTTTTATATTTAATAATAATTTAATTGAAAAAGATCTAATTTTTCTTTGATGGAATGATTTACAGTTACCTACGTATCTACAACTTGTTTTACACTATAATCTTTTTTTAAAAAATTATTTTTCTCGAATTCTAAATCAAATTAAATAATATTAAATAAATCAAAACAAATCAAGTAATATTTTAAGAAATTAAAATTCAAAATTATGAAATTAAAGTTAAAATTTTATACCGTATTGTATCATACTACGTTCATTAATTTATCAGCTAGTCTAGTGGAATAATTGTTTTCTTCTTCAATTTTTCCAATTTCCAATTTCCTACTTTTGATTAATCTACGAAAATAAAGAGTAAGCTAGTGATATATTACTGAAACTGTTTTAGTTTACGTGATACATTTTTTTAATCGGTCATTAAAAATGATAAAATTTTTATATTTAATAATAATTTAATTGAAAAAGATTTAATTTTTCTTTGATGAGATGATTCTACAACTTGTTTTACACTATCATTTTTTCTCAAATTCTAGGTCAAACTAAATTACATTAAATAAATCAAAACAAATCAAGTAATATTTTAAGAAATTAAAATTCAAAATTATGAAATTAAAATTAAAATTTTATACCGTATCGTATCATACCACGTTCATTAATTTATCAGCTAGTTAGTGGAATAATTGTTTTCTTCTTCAATTTTTCCAATTTCCAATTTCCTACTTTTAATTAAATCTACAAAAATAATGTCAGGCTATAAACTGATTTATACATGTTTCCCAATGTAAAATTTCTGAAAAAGAAATAACAAGACATGCTTTTTTTTTCTTTTTGGATTGAAAACTCACTTACACCCTCATTTGATAGTATATTTTTAAATAATTAATATATTTAATAGTGTACTGCTTGTTAGCAACAAAAAATAAAAATAAAATCAGCTTTTTATATAAAGCTGTTTTATGTTTTACATAACACAAAATCTTCTTAATTGGTAGTGTAGATTCATTTGTTCCTTGGATATTGTGTTAAAATTAATGGTGTAAAAGGAAATAAATGTCTGATATTATTTGATCATTTTACTAAAAATAATTATTTTATATTATTAAATTAAAAAATATTACTTAAATTTTTTATGTATATATTACCATTACAATTAATTCTTTTTAAAACGGTTCACATTTATTTATAAAATTTTCCAAAAAAAATTAGGAAATGATCTAGTTAAATTATTATAATATTAATAATATAGGAGTATATCTTAATTTATTGTCCTTCATTTATATGAGGGTTGTTTATATATATATATATATATATATATA